GGAGGGCACACGTAAACAAGATTTCAGATGGAAAAGGAGAAGATGCATCTGTGTATCTGTGTTTTTTTTCCTGCCTCGAGGATTAACGGCCCGCGATTGGAACTAGGTCAAAATCTCCAGCCAGAGGAATCTAGTCCTCATCCCGAAGACAAGAAGGAGCCATTGAAGGGTTGCTTTTGTTTGTTTGTTTGTTTGTTTGTTTGTTTTGAGCAGAACACAATATAAAATTTGCGCTTCAAAGGCTGAATCTGGGGACAGTGGGGAAGGTCCAGGAGAGAAATGGAAGGATCAAGAGCAGGGAGAAATTGCAAAAAAAAGGGGCGGGGCAGGGAGAAGTTGATCTCAAGCAGACATGAACTGAGAAGAACAGAATTGGCTGCCTATAATATGGAACCAAAAAGAGCAGACGGGAGGGGGAATTTGAAGGAAAGTTGTCAGGACCTGGAGAATGGTCATGTTTGGGTAGAAGATCAACGGAGATGAAGGTTTATCTATGACATTTTGACTATTCGAATCATATGAAGCTTTTCTCAAAAAATCTGCTCATTAAAAAATAGCTAGAAAGAATCCTTACTAAATCTAAGGACTGGGTTGTGGGAAATGGAGCCTGATCAGTCAATAAACCCTGCCTACCTCACAGTGAGACGCTGTACACATTTTCTGTTTCCCTATAAACATAGGCCCGGCAGGTCCACACACTTTCTCTCCTGTCTGATTCCTGCCAGGCTTTCCCCCAACTCTTAGACACGACTATTTTACCACCCCCAGTAATATCCAGGCCCAGCTGAGATGAGGAATGGCAGGAGGGAGGTGTCATGTTTATTCTAGAATATTTTCTTGCCAATAGTCTTGTTTCTTTCAGCCCCGGTCTAATTTTTAGTTCCCGCTCCATGAACAGCTCCAGTTGGGTGGCTGATTGTTGTGGTTCTCGTCCTCAACCTGTCACGCCATCCTGGGTTTGTCGGCCCGGCTGTTCTGTTGTCCGTTAATTGGTCGGTCATTCGGTCTCACTTTCACCCATATGGAACCTATTCTCTGTGCAAGTGCCTTGTTTACATTCCCTTTATCTACGGGATGCTTGTCTGTGTGTCTTAGTCACTCATCCACGGAGAGGCTGCATCTGTTTCACATGTTCTCCGGTCTCCTTTCCTTGATCTCCGATCCTGGCGGAGGCAGGGTTCCCTGGCACGCCTCCTCGTTCTGTGGCTTCAAGCTTGCAAAGCCCGGGGAGGTGTCCTAACAGGTGGCCAGCATCCCGTGGTCTTCTCTCCGTCGAGTTTTCTAAAAGCCCCGCATTCCTAGTTGATGCGTTGTTTATTTGTTTTTCAACTTCTTTCCAGTTTAAGAACAGGGACTCCAGGATCAGAGCGCCAGGGTTCATTTACTAGTCCCATAAGTGAACGTAAACTCGGCCCCTCCGTTTCCTCATCAGTAACACAGGAATGATAATAATGATGGTGATGATCCCTCAGAGGATGCGCCTGGCATACAACGAACACTCAATCAAGTTATTAAGTATACTATGAGACCAGGAGCAATTTTTTTGTTTGTTTCCTGAGTGTAGTGAGCTTGAATACTCTACTGAGAGTTCCCTGTCTGTGAAGGTGGAGAACAGCTCGCCCAGGAGTAGCTACTGGATAACCCAGTCATTTTTCCTCTCTCTGAACTACGATCAGCAATCCCAGAATCCAACCATTCATATGAGACAGAATGACAATATATACCATAGCCCTAAGCAGGCAAAATACATAATAATACAGGCAAAACACACAAAGTTATGCGAACTCCTCATCATCTCTCTCGTGTCCTGTTGTTGATAGTTGAGGATCAGCAACACTGTAATTGTTTTTAATCCTCTGGTCTTTTTTTGCTCCCATTGTCCCCACCTCCACAAGGAACTCTGCTCTCTCTGATAACCCCCTAACCAATGTACACATCCCTGCCATAATATCTGCACATCCTCCTATGCTTCTGGAAAACAGCTCACATACTGGGGGGTCAATACAAATACGTATCTGCAACTAAATAAAAGAATAGTGAGGCAAAAAAATGACTTTAACTTTGGCAAGTTTGGGACTTTGGAGCCCCACGGGGGAGACGAGTATTTGGGGGAGAAATAGGAGCATACGTAGCACCCCCAAAAATTACACAGTGGCGGTAGCCACTTATTAAATAAAGCTGGCACATCTAGTTCTCTGTATCAGGGCATTTTTTTTTGCCCAGGTGAAATAAACATGAGCAAAACACATATTGCTATGGATTGAACTGTGTCCCCCGCAAATGCATATACTAAAGCCCAACTCCCAGGATGATGGTATTTGGAGGTAAGGCCTTTGGGAGGTAGTTAAGTTTACAGGATATCATGAGAGTAAGGCCCTTGTGATGGGATTCATGTCTTTTTAAGAAGGGACATTGTAGCTTCCCCTCTCTCTGTCATGTGACGACACGGTAAGAAGGTGGCCATCTGTACACCTGGAAGAGAGCCCTCACCAGGAAACGGCACCTTCATCTGGGACTTCTCAGCCTCCAGAACTGTGAAAAAGAAATGTGTTCATTGTTTATGTCACCCAGTCTACGGTATTTTGTCATAGTAGCCTGAGCAGAATCACACACGTCTCATTTAGCGACTTCCTTAATTCAGCTATTTTTACTGATTTGTCAACCCAAAGAATCCCCAGAGATCCTATCTGAAAAGAGGGAATGTGAAAGAAGGTAAGAGGAGGAGGACAGGCTGGAAGCGGCCGTCACAGGGAGCCCAAAGAGGTACAAAGTCACTTGCTTCTGCTACTCAGTTTCTAGGCAATTCTGGGTGGGTCTGGCCCTCACACTGGGCATGCAAGGCATGAAACCAGGACAGGTGAAGCCGGCCAACAAGCTGGGCAGACCGCAGGCACTCTCAACTCAGCCACAGTGTCTTCAGGGTCCTAAGTGGCTCCTTGGCCAGAGAGCATCCCCCGAAATCCAGCAGCTCTGCAGACGTGCACCACCAAGTTTAATGTTTCTCCCATTAGAAAGACTTCAGCTGAATCTAATCTCATTTTTAATTAGTCCTCGCATTGCCTGGTGAGGCAGATTAATATGATTACCCATATTCCACTGATGGGGAAAATGAGACAAAGGGCCATGTCCCAAGGTCACTTGAGGAATGAGCAACAGAGGTAAAAATTAAATGTAAACATTTCAAACTTCCAAACCAGCACGAAGGGAAGGGCCTCATCGGGGAGTGAGTTTCATCTCTATTTGTTTAGGATCATCCACATCTGGATAATGCACATTCAATTTACTACTTGGTTTCTCTAATTAAAAAGTAAATTTAAAATAAAGTACTCACTCTACTTTTGAACCTCAATATTCCATATTCGATGCATAACCAATTTACCAAAAAATATATGCCAGGAGCAGTCAAAGAAGAGAATCAAATGAGTATCAGTTAGCCAAATGTGACTATATTGACTATTTATGGAACGTTTAATATTAAACTTGATCGTGGGAGATGGGTAAAGCAAAGAAGAATTAAACATGCCCCCTGCCTTCTAGAAACTGCTCTAACTGGACATTCGAAATAGGCACACCGACAAAAACATAAATGACACACACTTCCGACTGCATAGACAGGAACCAGGTGTTTAAGCATTATGTGTCGATCGGTTGTTGGCTAAGCTTATCTCACAGCCAACCGAGACACGAGCGTAAGAGGCAAGCCCACGGGGTCGTCATCTGCACTCTCCTCCAAACTAGTTAACTTCATCTTCAACTCCTCTCTCGTTATCACGCCCAGCATCCGAATGTCATCATTCTACCGCAGAAATGGTTTTCTATTCAGCCTCTTCTATCTCTTCTCTTTCCACTTGGCTGTCAGTGGAAAGATGAGAGACAGTAAGGTGCTGACTCTCATGGTCCAAATTTGCCACCACGATTTTCTTCTTAAAATGTAAGTCCTATCACCTTTTCTCTATGACAGACATACTTAATGCACACCTGATATCTGTATGTTTCCTTAAGCTTCCCTGACTCACCTGTAGTGGCTTGAGACGACGTGCCGGTGAGTGGGAAGGTCAGCACAAATGATGCTCTACTTCTGATGCAAGGGACTCAGAGTTCCTGGCCTCCCTCCCTATTCCTTCTCTACCTCTTTGGAGGCCGCCCCGGGTTCCACATTTTGAGAGGACGGAGGAATAAGATAGAAGAGATGGATGTGTGCTCTAGAGAGTTGCAGCAGACTTCTTGTGAGTGAGAACTGCATCCTTTGTCACGTTAAGTGACTGAGATGTCAGGGTTAGTGTGTGGCCACGGCCTATCCTGATTAATTCGTATTGTATTTATAAGCTTCCACTGGATCGACACTGGCTACAGGATAAAGTCCGAACTCGCTGACTTGGCACACGAGAGCCCGAGCGATCCACCCTCGCTTAGCTCTGTAACCTCAAAATCACTCCATACCTGTTCATGCTCCCCAAGACCAGCTTTGCTGAACAGACCGATAGTCCTTGCTGTGATATGCCACCGGTTACGGGTGGTCATTTATTATATGACGTTGTCATAGCAACATCTGAATAATACAGAAATTGGTATCAGAAGCAGGGTGCTGCCATAGAAAAATCTAAAATGCGTGGCATTCGTTCTAGAATAGTGCATCGGAAAGGAACTGTGCTAGGTAGCTGTAAAAATGAAATGGCTCATTATGCAGTGGCAAAGTATCCGATGAAATATTTCCCGCAGCTGGGAGGGAAGCTCTGTTAACCGTTACGATTTGCAGTTCAGAAAACCGACTTAGCAACCTGTTGGCTTTGGGTAAAGAGGACTTAAAGAGGAATATTACTAGGGCGAGTTAGTGGTCACTACCTTCCTTTGAGAAGGCAGTGTGAGAAGAGATGAGCGCAGATGACCTCGAGGCTGCCTCGCCAGCGGAACTGGCCGGGAACGCAGAGCACTAGAGATTCCAGGACGTGTAGTGCTGGAAAACAAAGCTGTTTCTCATCTCCAACCTGCGAAAGATGAAACTGAATAATGCTTAGTGCTAGAAAGGCTTTCTAAGACTGAAGTTAAGGCTTAACCTCAGGCAAAGACTAAATCAAAGGGTGGACCGTTGCCTCATTTGTTAAGAATTTTAGTTGAATTAAAGTGGCACCTAGGAGAGCCTTGCAGCTGAACAAAGTGACATAGAAAGAGAGATTAAAGACTTTGTCCCAGAGGAGCCTCATAAACTCAGAATACCTATAATTAAATCTTTAGAAAGAGAAACATCTTGAAAACACTTGTGAGGATAGCTCTTGGAATATGGATTTGACTTTAAATAAATTTGAAGTTAAATAAACATAAAACCAATAAAGTGGGTAAGAGTCAAATTGCCAAAAGTACCATCATCTTGAGTTAAAAGAGACTTACTGTTAAAGAACAAAAAAAAAAGCATTTTGGGTCCGCTATGTTCCACCAGGAGAAAGCAGGCTGAGAAAGCTACTTAGCTTCCAACAGGGGGATGTCCTCCAACACTCTCTTTTTGTGACTCAAGAGGGTAACGAAAAAGGGACAACTTCCAAGACAGCAGAGCCGAGAGCCATGAAGATCAACAGACCTGGGAGCTATACCCAGGGATTAATCCAAAGCTATGAGAAGCACTCCCTACTCTTGGAGTAGGGGGTTTTGCAACTTTCCTCCGAGGGATTTCGGAATCGCTGTGGACCAGTGACTGTTACGTTCCTCATTATGCTCCTCGAAGGCGGGTGTTTATTTTAGTTATCTTGTTTCTGCTCCACTTGTGATTCTCTGCCTTCCACGCACCCAGTGGACAAAGCACAGCAGACTCCAGACTAAGAGAAGCTACCTGGCAACCTGATGTAAATCACGATAGTCTGGATTTCAAGAGTGATGTTTTGACTGGATAAGGCTTTTAGGGTGAGCTGGGTAAGGTGGAGTGAATCTAACGAATGTCTATGACCAAGGAGGCTGACCGGCAGGTGCTCTTATATGTCCACAGTTCCTTTCATTCTCTCTCTTCCTTTGCCACGACTTCAATATCAGCAGACGACAATTCCCCTTCTTACCAATTGGACCTAGCCATGTGGTTTGCCCTGACCAATGGAGCGTGAGTGCGTGTAACAATGCTACACTCAACCAGAGGTTTTGAATGTATGAACGTGGCTTTTCAGACACATCAAGTATGCCTGAACCCAACCCACAACCTAAAACAGAACCACTTTAGTCAACCTACGGATGCATAAATGAGAAATAACTTTTGCTATATAAGACATCGATATTTGGGGGTTATTTGTTATGCAGCATTATTACAGGAAAATTTGAGGATGGCATCATGCCATCTCTTTTCGCATCTTCTTTCGCATCTTTGTTCCCATTTATCTTTCAAAACGCACTTCAAACAGTTACCCCTCTACAAGCTCTTCTCCATATAACCAAGGCAAGTTATTTGCTTAATTCTCTGTGCTCCCATGTACCTTAGTTCATATCTTTGTGTTAGTATTCATGGGGTAGCAATTTAATCTTTTACCTCTACTGCATACCCCGTGCCGGGAACTCCTTATTCATTTGTGTAATCTTGACACAGAGTAGGCACTTAGTAAGTATTATTTTAAATGAAGAAATGAACAGATGGCCCTGAATAAATGGAGTGATCGTAGTTTAGTAACCATGATGTAAGTCGGGAAAGGAGGCTGGGACACTCCTACAAACCTAGCCATCGGGGGGAGCAGCAAGCTTTCAGATTGAGAAATGGTCTGAGGCGCATACCAAGAAAAAAAAAAAAAAAAAGCTGGATGAGTTTGTTTTTTCATGTGTTGGAATCTGGAGCCCTAGATTCTGTAGCTGAGCTTGGA